ATGAGATTGAATCCAAACATAAGCTAATTCATCCACATAAGGTTAGGAATTTCAATTCTTGTCTCGAATTTGGTTGAATGTAATTGTTCAACTTGTGCATGTTGAATGAATAGTAGAATTAGTCGATTGATCATTGTCTACTTCATTTAAATAATCTAATAACCGGAAGAGGATAGATTGTTCAATCATGGCGTTCACAGAATAGACTTATTCGTAAAAATATTATCTATGTGTTATTTGATTGAACGAGATTGCCGTATATGTTAGTGCTCTTTTTACAAATAGCTATTGAGCGTAGACTTCTACATGTGTAGGGTTGTTTTATCACTTAACCGAACAAATATGCGTTCAACAAAGATTTAGGACTTAACGAGATTATTCTCGAAGCCCTAGACCTTTTTCTACTTCTCTATTTATTTTCTATCTATTTAATTACTTTTCTAATTATGTGTCATTTTTAGATATTTTACGGAAACCACTCTTGATTAGAATGTTTAGGACTTTATTTTCTTCTTATGTGTGATCGACACCGATTCTAGACTCTGAGTCGCCTTCTTCGAGAGACCGACCCATGGTCGGTATTCATTCCATGCTCGATAAATTTTATAATTTTCTACGACCTACTCGATCCCTAACATTTAACTAACCTCGTGCAATTATTTTTTTCATTAATCTTCTATATCTTAATGACCCATTACTTGTATTAAATATGACCTCTTAATTTTTTTTTGTTCATTTTCAGAAGCTGGCTTTGACGGAGTTTTTCACATCTGCTTATAGATTTATGAAACAGGAGGAACTTGACAGAAAAGAGAGGCGGGTTGGAGACTTGGAGTAAAGGCAGTGGACAGAGTTCACCTCACGGCAGAGTTCGTCAATTTGAGCCGATGGGATTTCACTTTCTAGGTTTGAGGGAGATGGGTTTGACAAGGCTACTAATTAAGATGCACTGATTAAATTTAGGTTGTGTTTGTTTAGTGGCGTTTTGGCCTTAAAAAGCTTCTTCAACTATTTAGTTGTTTGACCATACACAATCAGCTAAACGTTTGGCAAATAGCTATTGTAACCAGCGTTTTTGGCCCATAAAACGATAAACGTTGATTTTTGCAGCGTTTTGGCTCAACAGTTCAAAATGAAAAAATAAAATAAAAGTCTTAATTGTCCCCACTCATTATTACAATAACTCTTTACACATCTCACAATTTCAGTAATAAAAAAAATTAATGTGATACTTTTTTATTCAAACTCATATAAATAATATTTAGTCTCACAATTTCAGGAAAAAAAATCAAAATCGTAATACTTTTTTTATTTAAATCCATATAAATAATATTTAATTTATTGATAATATAATAGATGTATTTGACTATATAATTTTCATTCCAATTAATATATAGTATAACTTAGTAACTAATTTTACCAACTATTTTTCTAAAATTTCAAACATATATAGAAAACTACTTAGATACACTATCATATATCTTAGTTCAGCATATAATCTCCTTAAACAATATCCCAAATTTGTAGAAACATTCCAACAATTTGAGAAATCTAGTCAAAAAATTTCAAAGTCGCATAAACATCCAAACAATTTGAAAAATCTAGTGAAATAAAAAATTGGGAACACCCAAAGAATTAGTAAAATATAATAAAGTAAAAGGAGAAAGAAAATTCTAAATAGATGATGTATTTTGTTACTTAAATGACCATGCGAACTTTTGAAAATTATTACTGTAAATTTTAGTAAATTTGATTTTATTTTTCCATTATACGGATATATCTTGTAATTGAGACATATTCAGATTTTTTAAATAGTGATGACTTGTTATTAATTTTGTTTATATGATGCGATCTTATTTAATTAATTAAAAAAATATTTTCATTCGATGATTATTTACATTTTTCTATATTTTAAATAATTATAAGTTCAACATAAATAAGAATGATAAATTATGATGATGTCCTTATTAGTAAATTTACATGTTAAGAACTAACGAAAAACAACTAATTTTACCAAACATTTTTGAACAAACCTCTAACGCAATCATCTTGTCAAAACAACTAATTTAATATGCCGGTTAAAACAATTAATGCAATCTGCTAACAGCTATCAGCTAACCGCTGATTACCAAACAAGCCCTTATTATAATAAAAGTAATAAATAATTGGTAGCTAAAAACTCATAATTAAAAGATTACTAAAAATGTGCAGTGATAATTGAATTTTATTATTTAATTGTGTTGATAACGTTGAGCAAAAATAAATTGGGAACACATAAATTTTTCTGAAATTTTTTTGTATCCAAATCAAAATATTTATCCGAAGACACGAATCAGGAAATAATTCTTAACTAATCACTCACGAGTTTTATTTTCTAACTATGAAATACCCTCCGTTAACAATCAAATTCAATTATTTCAATACACTTGGCAGCAAGAAGGATGAAAGAGATATTAGAGTGCTCTTATTGTTGTCCCACATCGGTGCGAGAAAACCAAGGCAGTGAGTAAACAGCTATAAAATAGGCCGTGGCTGCACCTTAGTACTCACTTACCTGGACGGGGTCAATGGGTGATCATGAAGGCCCATGGCCTAGATTGGCGACCTCCATTGCACTTGGGAGGGGCGCCCGTCTAAGGTCGGCCCAAGTGGTCGAGCCTACGTCATAATTTGTGGTAGTGGGGGCCTGCGTTCGCGCGGCCCCTACCCAATTTAAGTCTTTAATTTTTGTCAGCCCAAATAAGGCACTGGCCCATTTTAATTTTGCATAGTCCTCGCCCAGTTTAACTGGATGCTGTTGTCCGAAGTGTCGCAATTCCTACAGTACTCGTCATATAATAATATTTTTTATTGTCAAAATTTTTTGTTATGGTTTTATCATTTTTTTTCTATTAGGAGAAAAATAGAGAAAACAATAAAAAAAGAAAATCCAACAGAATATATTAGAGTTGATGAACCAACTAATCATTAGCAACCATACTTTGAAATACTTGAATAAAAATATAACATTGCAAAAAGTATAGTTTTTTATTTTTTTTACAAATTATTTGTTTTCTCCAAGCCTCACAATTGAACTCGAGAGCTGGAGTTATTATTTCGTAGAGAAAATTACAATTTTAATCCTGTAGGTATAACTTCGGAGTAAGTCCTACAGAGATACCAATGTGAATTCCATCATGTGTATATGAGAAAATGTTGTTAATTATTCATCAAACATCAAAATCATAATCTGCAATTTTAATCCTTCAAGTATAGCTTTCGAGCAAGTCTTGTCCAAATGCCCAATTTGAATTTCATCCTGTGTACATGGGAAAATGTCGCTAATTTAGTCTCAATCAACAGAAAATCCTAATTTGACGCAAATTTTAACATAACTCCACAAGTGACCATTTTCCCGGCCATTTTCATTGACATGGCTAACAAGAGTTCATCCGGGCTTGAGATTCTTATCACTACTCATTCCTTAATTTCTCTTAAGATAAGAGTTTTCTTGTTCGATAGTTTTAGATAGATTGATACTTATTGGATCATTGTAAGTGTATCTATGTTTGACAAATAATTTGCATGAAATGTTAATCGACACTACTGAATAAGTTATTACAAGCTTCCATTAAACATTCGTATGCCTTTGGTGATTCATTTTTCTTTCTAAGCCGATTTCCAAGCCACTACCCAATAATTACAAGTTTTCCATGAACAGAGATGAAAATACAATTATACGTTACATTTAACAAGAGAAACTACAATTCCAATACAAAGTCGGGAATAAAAAAAGGGTACTTCTTCATTTTGGCTGTCTAGACATACATTTTCAACAGATGCACATACTTTAAAATACAATATAAACAAAAGTATGGTATGAGTATGATTGTCTACTGATTAGATCATTAGACATTCTAATTGCATTTGTAAAAAATAAACATAAAAAATCTCTACTACGGTGATAACTAACTGCTTAAAAGCGAAATGCGAACGCCAAAACTGAAAAAGAGAGTTTCACACTCAAAACAAAGGATCAGAAATTACTAACCATATCACAAAATATATCAGCGACTTTCATGTAAGGCTCAACTCCAAGCATTACATATATTGAGGATCCTGTGAGCATAACAACATTCAGGTACACCTTGCATCACGGCATAGTAAACATCACAAGAATGATTGTAAATATTTAGGTTAACTACAAAAACACAGCATAATTACCGAAAAAAAGGGAAACAACAGAATGAACAATCAATCTTCCAAAATACAACCCTCTTCACATTTGTTTGTAGTTTAATTACTAAAGATAGTTTTAGTAACCCTTCATATATCTGAAGAAGACGGGATATTAGAGTAGCTCACCAGTTAAACGGACTCAACAAAGATAAGGTGATAATGCCAGAAGCACGTGTAATTAACTGCTTAGCGATATCACAATCCATGATTATTGATCCGAGTCATGACGGCTTAGAAATTGGATGATACAAGGGTATATTTGTTCCACAGCCTGCCACACATCATTTGAGCCATCAAGCCTGAGTAACAATTTCATGAATAATACTCTTGACCAAGAAAAAAAAAAACGTGAAATTGCATACGTACCATACGTCCTCCCACCAAGTCGTAATGGGCATAATGTGTGCCATTAGGTTCACCAAACACTTTATACATGACCAAATGCTCAGGAATGAGCCTCACAGTTTCTGCTCGATAAAATTTGGGTAAGAGGTAAATAAAAGCTTGGTATGAATGTTAGGGGGTTCGGGAAGCATGTTAGTTGAAAGAGGAGAAGAAAACAGACCATATACGGCTTCAGGTGGACAAATCAAATCCCGATCCCCTGCCAGGGCTAAGATGGGAACACTGCTTTTATGAATATGATCTTTGTAAAAGAACGTACCACTTCTGTCTTGGAGTCCGCCTTCCCGAAAGGCAGACGTAAGCTGTAATAATAGTTTAGCAGGAATAGTACCTGACAGAAGTAACTAAAGTTCATAATGAAGTCGCACAATTTGGTATTACCCATCGTTAATTTGTCATTAATCATCTCAGAGACATCTTGATAGAGAAATGTGGATTTGACAAGGGAGAATTTCAAATGAATCCATCTAATACAAAATCTGAGATGTACAGAAATAATAAAACAAGAATGGCTCAAACTGGGAACTTAAGATTTGAAATCATTGTATCCAAACGGGATGAATAATTAGTTATTACAGGGATTTCAAACCCACCCATGCAAATGAAGAATGAGAGATCCTTAACAAAAGTTCTTTATAGCTTTGTTCGGAAAAGCTCATGACAGAATGGATTTCATATCTTAGTAAGTGTTTTTGAGTCATTTTGGGCATTTCAAAATCCATATTATATGGAGTAGTTTGATACCGTCCCCTCAAGTTCTCTTCCATCCACTTCTCCCCACTCTTCAACTAAGTGACACCAAAAAGAAAATGACAAGCACACACAGGCAAGACGAATGCCCATTAGCATTTTTGCTCATAAATCACCCAAAAACAAAATATTATGCACACATATATATATATATACACACACACACATATATATATTCATATATGATACATGTAACAGGTAGAGCTATGCTAAATTTCTTACAAAAACTATTTAGGATCAGCTTCTTCAACAACTCGGGTTGCATCATATCCTGTGCAGATATCAGGTCATTCATCCACGACAAGACATAAGGGGGATGTGAAGAGAGAGGATAAGCTGCAGATAGCATTGCTCCTAGAGGAATAACAGGTACATTAAGAAACTGAGCAGGGTCAGCCTGTGGGACGGAAACATTTTATTAAGATCCTTCACAGGGATAAGAAAATATTCACATTCAATCTAAAAGGAGCTTAGAGTACTGGTACATACTAGGGGAAGAAGCAGTTTGAGTGTTGATTTAGACGTGGTGTAGTCAAGTGACGAAGCCAATGTACCGATAGCTGCTAATCCCGGATCTCTACCTTCGGAACCTTTTAAAAACCAAATAATGTCAAAATTTTCCTACGAACAATCCATAATAAAATGTGTTAACTATGACATGAGGATGGCTTCAGAATATTGTTTAAGTACCATGATTGTAAATAAAGATTATAAGGCCTTCAATGTTTAATATTAAATAGCATTTCCACCCAAATCCGACCTCAATAAAAACACACGATATTTAGATTTAAAAATGAAATGGAACAGCAGAATATAATGACCAGCTGCTAAATGAGGAAGTACCACAGAAGTCATCTACGGATGAAATGAAACTTAGTAACTTATAGTTACAGATCTAGATGATCATTTGTCCTGCTGATGCAAATAATCTATCAAAAATGTGTCTATAACCATGTGACCGAGAAGTTTAAGATAGTTGAAAAAGAGAAGGAAGAAGCAAAACCAGTTTGCAATCATAACAATTATCTTTTGCCACTATAAATCATCATCATCCACAGAACAGTAAGCTGAACTTACTGTATCGCGATACCATCGCATATAGCAAAATACCCCCCATGGAGTGACCAATTGCGAGTAACCGACCATCCTTTGGTTTGCTCTGAGCCCGTATATATTCCATCTATGAAAT